CATCGGAGAGGGCTCAGGAGGGATTCACATAGGGGTTCAGGCCTTTCCGACCCTCTCTCGGGAGATGTTTCTCACTTCGGATCCTGGGGCCTTCCACTCACCTTTAAGTTCCTCCCGTGTCACAGGGACCGAACAGAGGAGCGCTCCACAGCTTTTCTTCCCAAGAATGAGCCGTTTTCTAAAGGGCATAGAGCACCATGTCCCAAAATGAGCTCACAGATGAAAAGGCAAATCAGTCCAGGCAGGTTCACCAGGATTGCTCTTGGCTTTGTTGTTGTTTTCATGAGAAAAGAAGTTTAACATCTTAAACCATTTAAATCCATATGACAGGTTAGAAGTGGTCGAAAGTGAAACCCGGGAAGAAGAAATGAGGAAGTGAAACAGTCCTTGCAACATAAGCACTAGAGGAGCTGTGACAGCGACTGCCGTGGAGCGTGTGGTATGAGCCAGGACCATACAGCACCTGCAGGTGAGTGTGTTTGGGAGCCTCGCTGATGACGAAGGTGGAGTTGCCATGGGGGTGGGGAGCAAGGCAGCATCAATTCTGTTGATGTCGGCAACTGAACGAGATGTGTCATCTCCAAGGGGAAGCGAGACTGACCCCTCTCCTGCTCCACTGCTCCCTTCGGACTCTCTCAGCCCCAGCTAATGACCCCCCAGCAGAAGGGACCCCCTCACTTTCACCTCTACATCTAGAAACCTCCCTCCTTTTGTACTTCCCTCTACCATGACATAACCCCCTGGAGGTGCAGAGCCCCCAGCACCTTACTCGTATTTGTGCCCCCTGTGCCTTGGATCAAGTCTCCACATAGTAGGTGCTCAATTAATATTGGTCAAGAACTGAACCAATAAAGATACGGGGAAGTACTTTGTGTTCAAAGTACTTGTTTCTCTGCAGAAGAGGGAGATTAGAGAAGGGTGGGGCAGGGGGTACTGAGAGACAGACTATAAACTTTCCCATGAGATACCTCTGTATTATGTGACTTGTTTCATTAGCAAATACTTCCTGAATCTTTGAACATGAATCAAGTCACTGCAGAAGGAGAGGCTTCCAGGTGGACAATGACAGGGAGAGGCAGGTCCAGGCTGCCAGGGCCACGTCCATGTGGGCAGCTCCTTCCCCCCATGGCTGCTCTTCTCCACCCTCCCTCCTCCGGGTCTTCTCCAGCAGGGCCCTGCCCCCACCCTCTCTCTGGGCTCCATCCCTCCAGGGCCAGTGCCCTCCCTGCCGAGATCAACAAATGTGCTTCTCTGAGCCCCATTCCTGAGGCTCCTGGCCTGGGCTTCCTGCATCGCCCGGGTTCTGTCCTGCATGGGTTGCCACACCTGCTGGTCTCGCCTTTCGCAGAAGCTCCTGGGCCTGCAGTACTTCCCGGTCACTGCCACACCGAAGTGTGTTCTCCTTTGGAAATTCTGTACCCGGGTGTCAGGGCAGCCCTTGGGTGCGCTCAACCTTTTCGGGATGTCACCTGAGATGACCCTGAAAGGACGCCCAAATGGGACTCAAATGGGTTCACAAAACACACAGAGAGAATATGCTGATTTTCAGATCTTTACGGACCAAAAGACAGGTACCCCTGCA